CATATTCTCCCTCAAACCTAAAGAAGGCGCTTAGATAATCACAAACAACATGCAAAGAGGTCCCGGCAGTTTTATTCCCTTGAAGATCCCTTCAAAAACTGGAATATGCTTTGGGAGTCATACAGACAAAAGTGTGATGCTGATACACACCTTCCAGGAATAGCACAGGCCAGCACGATTGTTAGGACACCAGCAGTGTAGAACTAAAACAAAACATCTCAATTTCTTCTTTTTCTTTTAAATCCAACTCAAATATTATTGTAAGTTCAGCATTTGAAAAGCATTTCCACATGCAGATGTTGCAAATGGTCACAAATCATGTGACAGTTTATTGTCAATAATATCTAAAAATATTTCATGTGGTTTGTGTTGCTAATTTTTTCTAAACTTGTTATGACATGATAATTCATACTGTCTCGATTGGCTAAAAATTTGTGTTGGGGTGTGAAAGTCACTGTTCCTACAAGATGAGTTAGTATGATGTTTCCATTCTTCACTGCTTGTTAATATACTGTATTACTTATTTGTTTGGGGTATGCTAGGTGCTTTCTCCAGTTTCTCTCATATGTACCTTTACGATGGGAGAGGAGATGGAAGACTGCAAGGCATGCCAGGGCTGTAGACTGGGAAGTAAAGCACACACATATGCACACACATAGAAAAAAGTCAGTGGCAAATATTCCATATTGCTTTCAAGTCACAGTCACTGATAGACCTTGACTTGAAAATTTCACCTTTTTTTTTTTTTTTTACTTTTCATTGAAAATTAACTGCGCTATTCATCTACACTTCTACACTTGTCATTTGGCCTTTAGAATATTTATTTTGGAAAATATGTTCCAGTTTGATTAGTGTCCATCCCTTCCTTCCTTCCTTTCTTTTTAAAGTAAGAAGGATGGACTCTCAATGCTCAGGCAGGTTCTCTATCAGAAACATGTGCATATATAAATTTATATATATATATATGTATTTCTTTTTAGGTTAACTGAAAAGGTTCTACTAATCACAGATGATTTTGATCGGTACCAAACATTAATGGTGGCGGAAAGAATGCACGAAATGAAATACAGAAATCCACAACTGATTCAAAAGTAACCCTTTAATACAATATAGCAATACTATTCAGATTTTAAGTAACTCTTTCTTTGTGAGTGACTGTTCTATATTGCAAGAATACCTCCATGTATTTCTGTTCTAAGCTGTTGCTCAACATAGTTGGAATTTTTGAAGTTTATCATGTAACTTTCCTTGTCTTCTTGAGTTTTAAATGTACAATATTTATCTTCAAATAATTTTAGAGATAAAAATGTTTTCTTTTTTAGGGAAATCACAGTTCCATTACAGGTAGTCCTCATTTAGTGACCGCAATTGGGACTGGCAATTTAGTCATTAAGTGAAGTGGTCGCTAAGTGAAAAATCATGTGACCGCAACTGTGCTTGCAATTTTACACAGGACAACACATACTAACTGTAATGGCGAACACGTGACTGAGAGATGATGTGAAGGTCGTAAATGTGGGCATTGGTCGCAAAGTTACTTTTTCATCACCATCATAACTGCAAATGGTTGCTGTCCGAGGCAGTCACTAAGCAAGGACTATCTGTATAGGTTGAAACAGGTAAAAATTGTATCAAAAAATTAAAAAGTTAGTTTAGTGTGGCATAGCATCTGTACAATCCGAGTAACCAGGCTTGTTCAGTAATTGCTTCACAGGTTTATTTAACCCATAAATAAGAACTGATTGAGCTCTAGTGGCTTCTTCAAAAGTTTACCTTTCCTGTTCCCTCTCATCTAATATTAATTGTTCATACCTTATGTTTGACAGATGATAATGAACTTCTTCTCTCCCAAGTTGTAAAATATTCTTATATCCAGAATATAAACTTTTCTGAGACAGATTTACATACTCAGAATAATTCTCCCAATATCTGTGCTGTGTTTTCATTAATAGGTTTTTCTGCCACTTTCTGGGAGTCGTCTTATTCAAGAATATAATAAGGAATGTATGAGTCTTAACACCCCTCATTTTATGGTCTTTCCTGATTTTGAATTCATTAGATACCAGGGTCAGAATTAGGCTAAGGAATATAGAATGCTTTCTGTTATATTGCTGTTACTTTTTTTTTTCCTAGAGCCCTTTTTATGTCATTGGCCTATGACCAGCTGCTTTTTCTTGCAGATTTGTAATATTTGTTTCACTAAAATTCTCATCTAAATAATTAAATTATGTCACAATTATTTAAGCATGACACAATTACCTCCATCACATTCGCTCACTGTCCAGAACAGGAGAAATACCTATAATTTCTTTAGTCTAGGAATAATTTAGGCAACATATCAAATATTTTCACATTGCATGTTATACTACTTACTTAGTATTATACCCCAAGTCTAAATATATTTCTTGGAACTTGCAATCAGCTAGACATGCTTAGGATCATGCTGTAGTTCATTACAGTATATCTAATGAATCATTTTGGTTTTGTGTGTGTGTGTGTGTATTCTGGTTTGGAAATAAATTTGTAGTACAGTGGTACCTCGGGATACGAACTTAATCCGTTCCGTGACTCTGGTTGCAACTCG